AATTTTTCGGCCTATGACCTTGCAGGAAATAGATCTGTACTGAGCCTAAGCCTTCTGGTTCAAGTCCAGCCTCTCTGCTCCACTCCTGTGTGGGATGTGCCAGGGCAGGTTTCTGGACCCCGTTCTATACCTATGAGACAGAATCTCCTGAGACTGGCCCAAAGACCTGTGTCCACTCAGAGAACTTTCCACAGTGACGAAGTTGTATATTCTGCTCTGTCCAATATGGGGGCCCACAGCCAGGTGCAGCTCTGGAGCACTTGACATGTAGCTAATGCAGCTAAGGACCTGACTGTTTTATTTTATATCATTTTAATTAATTTTAATTTAAATAGCTACATGTGTCTAGTGGCTACCATATTAGATAGCACAGATTTAAGTTTCAATTTCAACTCTTCTCTAGCTGTGTGACCTTGGACATGGTTTTTAAACTCTCTGTGCCTCTGTCTCTTTGCCCAAAATGAGCACTCACAGTAATGCCTTCTACGTAGGAAATAGCATGAAGATTAAATTAGTTCATCTAGGAACAGTCCTTGTAACACTTCCTGGAACATAGGAAATGCTCAGTCATTGTTAGTGACTATTGTTGTTATTACTGATTATTATCCTGAATATTAAATTACATGAGTACCATGTATACTAATTAAAAAGCTTATCTACCTATACTCTTTCTTACAAGATTTAATGTAATTTCAGTCTTACCTTGCTTAAGACATTGAGCTCTTCACGTTGGCCTAGCTAGACTCCTTCTCTACACACCTGTAAGGCAGGCGAGCAGAAGTTGTAATGGAGAGGTCCAAGTGCCTTCCTGCCCATGATGCAAGGTGGACATGATCATTTAAGGTCCCTTCTAGTTGAGCAATTAGTAACAATTCTATAAAGTTCGCTTTTATAGAATATTTCCTCTGACCTGTTTAGTGACTGCTTAAGTTGCTTTATCTCATTTAATCCTTACAACAACCCTACGAAATAGCTATCACTACCCCATTTTACAGATGAGGAAACAGAGACCCAGATGGGCTAAGTAATTTTTCCAAGATCATGTGGCTACTTAGTGATGGAGCCTGGCTCCAGCTCCTCCTGTCTGTGACTCCAGCACACATACTCCTCCCCACTGTGCTTTACCACCCAATTACTTCTGGAAGCACTTCCTCCTTACAAGAGGGTACAAAATCATAAGATGCATCATCAGGAAATTGAGGATAAGAGAATGAAGAGCACTGGGCAAAGTGTCATGAGCCTTTGAATTGGAGGCCCAGTTCTCCCAGGACCTCACGACTGGATTTGGGGTCTATAACTTGGCTGTCCCTAGGAGAGCATGAGCTGGGTCACTGCCGAGGTCCCTTCCAGCTCTTAAATAACTTCTATGACTCCAGGACAGCAGGGCGGGAAATCCATCATGTCTAGCCCAGAGAGGCAAGGGGACAGCCTCCGGCCCTCTGGGTCAACCTTCTCAGAGCTTACGCAGCCTCTCTGGATTTTCTCCAGCATAGACTGCCTGTACACCAACACCTCCCACCTCGAGGTTAGCTTCCGTGTTGAAGTGATAAAGCCAGGAAAGACACTGGAGATTCCAATCATCTTTTATCCTCGAGAAAGCATCAACTATCGAGAACTCATCCCCTTTGAAATCAATGGGCTCTCACAGCAAACAGTCGAAATCAAAGGGAAGGGCACGGAAATGAAGGTAAGAGACGGGGGGGCCCTCGGGCTTGGCGCCCTCCCTCCCATGCTTCTCAGCCTCCTGTGCCCACCTGGGCCCCACACCCTTCCTCTCCCTCCACATCTCTGCCCCCAAGCTGCTCTGTCTGAGGGCAGACGATGCACCTAATAACACAAAGGGGTGAATTGTCACATCAGACCCACTGACTCAGAGGTCCTATTCGATACCCAACTTTACCATATGGAATGATACAGGCAGTCACAGGCACTGGAGAAACATTCTTTTCCTTGGAGAAGCTTGATAATATCAGACGCAGCACCCTGAGTATGTCCTTTCCATTAGGGCTTGTTTTTAGGTTTAACAGACAACACTTTGAAGCAACGTACACAGACATGCATTTCAGTTACGGAACATCCTCCCTTGACACCCCCACTGATTAACCTTCTCCAGCCAGCCCCAGACCCCAGGATTATATTTGGTTAAGGGCACTCCTTCTACCCAGGCACTCTGGATAGAAAGGGAACGGTCATACCCTACTCCTCATCCCTTTCTTCCCGGTGTCTGACAAACATTTCAGGTGTTTGTTGGGAGTTTTTCTATTTTAGTAGACAGAGACTCTCAAGAATGCATGGGGTATTTCAGCAACCCAGGGAAAATGGAGGGGTGTATTCCCGGCAGCCTTCTCGTCAAGCCGTAGGAGCAACAGGACATTGCCGCTGGTGTGTCTGGACCCAAGCCAGAGGCGGACTCTTCTCATCCCATGTATTCGTTCATTTGCTTGTCCTTTCATTTGTTCGTTCAGCACCCATTGTGTGCTGGGCACTTTGGGTAGATCCAGAGGTGACTTAAACATGTTGTCAGACCTCCAGGAGCTCATGGTTGGTAAGGGAGACACTCTCTTGCCTTTTTAGACAAAATGGAAGCATGTGGGCTGGATTTAAAGGTAGTTGGGGGAAGGGGTGCAGTTTAGTGACTGATGGAATGACGGTGACCAGTGGGTGTTGCTCATTGTGGCTCAGCCTGGCCTGGGCTGATGCAGACCACTGTTTTCTTCAGTGCCTTAGCTGAGGCTCTGGAGTGTGTCACTCCTCTCCACCTCTACGGCTGCCGTTCCAGTCTAGACCCTCATCGCCTCGCACTCCTCGTGCTTTCTCTCTTGCCCTCTTTCAGTCCGTTCTCCATGGAAGAGCGAGCCAGCACGCTCTCACAAGCGCACGTGTGACCAGGTCACCCCATGCTTCACGGACTTTCCATTTCTCCCAGAATAAAGCCCAGTCTCCTCCTTCCCACCCAACAGTGGCCCACAAGGCCTTACAAGACCTGACCGCCTCGAAACGCCTCTTCTCGGGTCCCAGCTCCCAGCCACAGGCCTTGCCGGGGCCACTCCCTCCGGCTCAGGGCCTTGCTGCAGGCTGCCTCCTCCCCTTAGAGTGTCCCCAACCCCACGCCCAGCCTGACACAAGCTGACTGGACCCTGCCTTTCCTGAGCTCTCAGCGTGAACCCGCCATCCTCAGACAGGCCTCCCCGAGCCTGCGTCTAGTTTCAGCCCCTGTGCTGTGCTCTCCAGGTGCCCTGAGCTTTTCCTTCCTGTCTTTTAACCCAGCTGTAATTATGTAATTGTGGGTGAGTAGCTGTTTATGGAGTAGGCGAATGCCCTTAGGTCACTAAAGGAAAGGGAACCACTCTTGCCTCCCTAGGGAAGATGTTTCATAATACCTATTTTTCTCATTAACTAATGAACCCTTCCTCCTGCTCTCTTCCTCGCCCCACAGATTGCAGTCCTAGATCCAGCCAACAGGGTTGTGAAGTTGGGAGCCATCCTGCCAGGACAGGTTGTGAAAAAAACGGTTTCCATCGTGAACAACAGCCTCGCCCAGCTCACATTCAACCAGTCAGTTCTGTTCTCGATTCCAGAGCTCCAGGAACCCAAGGTTAGTGCCCAGGGGGACCTAGTGGCCTCTTCATGCCTCCTGATGCCAAGGACGGCCATGCTAGCAGCACCAACAGCTCGCATTTCCTGTGCACCTGCAGCGTGCCAGGCCATTCTGTGAGCTTTCCACATGCTCTTTCTCTCTTCATTTTCACAAAAACAGTATGGGGCTAGTGCTTTATTATTTTCATTTTACATTCTCATTTCATTTTCATTCAATATCATCGTTCATTTACACCTCCATTATGTACATGGACCAGTTCTCCACTTCTGCTCATTTTAGGTGTTTCTAATTGTTCCGTTACAAACAACACCGTTACATCCACGTAACGAAACCTTTGCGTGCATCCGTGAGTCTATGTGTGACGTACCCTCCTAGTTAGAAGTGGGCATCTTGGGTCAAAAGCGAAAGTGTGTTTCAATACACATTGCCAGTGTGCCCCCGGAAGGTCACCCCACTTTGTGCTCCCATCGGCAGTGGGAGAAAAGCCTGCTCGTTGCTCTCAGTCTGCTTCCACGGGGTCCCTGCACACGGTCCTGGCTGCCACCGCCCAGCTGATAATCAGCAGTATCTGCGTGGCCCTTTGAAAATGGACCGATGTGTTTCATTCCGAGAGTGGACTGTATCCATTCCTTCATGCAGTTCATTCTTACATTTACTCAATAAACACTGCTAGGTGCCGGGAATAAGAAGGTAAATATGGCATAGACCTTGGTCTGGTGGAGTTCACAGTCTCGGGGCGTCACAGACACATCAACAATCCCAGGACCGCAGAGGAGCTGCAGAGGCAGGATGTATGGTGGGAGCAGGTCTGCTCAGAGGAGGCCCCAGGGGGCTGGGGAAGACCTCAGAGTGGAGGGAGCCTGTGCTGCATTTTACAGGGTGAAGAGGTGTCTCCCAGCAGACAGGTTGGGAAGGGGCGTTCCCGGTAGGCAAAGGTGTATATGCTCAAAAGGGAAACTAGATGGGATTCAGTGTGGAAGGAGCGGTGGGGACCATCTGGAGATGGCAGGGTACAGAGAAATTGGCTGTGAGAGGCCAGCCAAGGCCAGACACCCAGTGGGCATCTCATCCCAGGACCCCACACTGCCCACGTCACCATCCAGACAAGAAGGGAAGACTTGTTGCTTCCCTTCCCTCCCCTCGTTAATCCAAATCAAAGCCCTCAGCTCCCCTAAAGGTTTGGCTGTACCAAATCTGCCTCCTTAGGTGGCGGGACTAAAGCTGCCAGAGGGCCCCGTGCTGGCACCAGCACCCCTGAGGCTGGCTTCGAACGTCACCGTGTTTTGTGACATCCCTAAGATCACTTTCCTGTTGCAGCCCCTCGCCCATCATCTCACTCCCTGCGGCCACGGCCCACTTGCTGGTGACTGCTCAGGGCTCTGCACCAAAGGAAGCTCAAGGGTATAAGGGGAGTTGGCCTCCCCAATGCTGATTGGATTGATTCCTGCCAGGACCAAGGGAAAGAGAAAGCCAAATAAATCTGCGCAGTGGGTCTCAAACTTCGGAATACATGAGTCACCTGTGGAACTTTTGAAAATACAGGTTCCAGGGTCTCCCCAGGAGATTGTGATTCAGTTGGCCTGGGGCAGGACCCAGGAATCTGCATTTTAATGATCACACAGAGAAATCCCATGCAGGGAGTGTTCCTTGAGAAACACTGGCGCTCTGAGTGTTTCCTGTTCTCAGTACAATTTCCTCTGCAGGGAGGAGGAAGAAAGGATGAAATGCCCAAAAAGAGTTAGGAAACGGGCAGGAGAGGGAGTTGACATTTATTGAATGCCTGTTACGTGCCATATATTTTATACAGATGATCTTAATCTTCGCCATAGAGTAAGTCAGAAAGTTTAAATAACTTACCAATGCTTACACAGCTGAGACGAGAGCAGAAGTGAGAGCTGACCCCCCATCCAGCCCCAGCAGCAAGACCTCAGGGCATTGAGGCCTTACCCCCACCCCCCACCCTCAGCTGCTGAGTTTGGGTATTGTTTCCTCCAGGTCATCACCTTGGTGCCCTTCCACAACATCTCACTGAAGCCCAAAGAAGTCTGTAAACTGGAAGTCATATTTGCCCCGAAGAAGCGCGTGCCTCTCTTCTCTGAGGAAGTGTTCATGGAGTGCATGGGGCTCCTGCGCCCCCTCTTCCTGCTCAACGGCTGCTGCCAAGCCCTGGAGATCTCCCTGGACCAGGATCATCTTCCTTTTGGACCAGTCGTGTATCAGACGCAAGCCACACGTCGCATCCTCATGTTGAACACAGGCGACATAGGTGCAAGGTAGAGGAGCGGCGCCTCCTTCCCCAAGGCTGTGGCAGAGATGTCTGTCCCTGGATCTGCCGTGGACTAGACACTTGTTTTGCAAGTGCAGCCACTTTTTATTTCTGTCCTCTCCCTTCTATATCCCCCCAACCCCTACTCCCCTCAAGATGTGTCAGCAGTGGCCTCACCAGGGTGGTTACTAAACTTAACGTGGTGGGGAACATTTGCTCAGTGCCTGTTACATGCCCTTTATGTAACTCACCTCGTTAAATCTCAACGACTCTATGCAACCCATACTACTACTGCCAATGTATTTTGCAGACGAGCAGACTAAGGTACAAAGAGATTAAGTAACTTTTCCAACATCACGCATGTAGAAAGAACTTTTCTGTGCGCAGGTGCAATGCTGAGCATTCTTATATATAATATCCCACTTAATCATCCCAGGACTCGCTAAGGTAGGTACAGTATCGTACCTATTACACAGATGGAGTTGAGGCCCACAGAGGGTAGGTGACTTGCCCAAGATCACATAACCAGGAAGTGACAAAGATGGGACTGGAGCCCAGGTATATCTGTGGCAGCTCTTCTTTTCAGGGCCATCCCACTTGGGCACACTGACATGGTGGTACAGGCTGCACACCACACGCCCCCCGGGGCACCCTTCCCATAGACCTCAGTGCAAGTGGCACCCCAAGACATGTGATGTGGCAGCCCTGGTGCTGGAGGCACCGGCCTGCACCATCCAGCCTCTGTCTCCTGCGACAACCAAGTGCCCAACCACAGAGGGATGACCACAGAGGGCTATCGGATCCCAACTGCCACCAAGAACCCAGCACAACTCTCACGTGAAGGGATTGTTGCTACCCTCCTGGACCTGAACTGAGGAGCAGTACAGGGAATGTTAAACCACAGTTTCAGAAGGGTTCCAGTCCCCACCCGACCACTTCCTAACTGTGCGACCTTGGGTACATGTGTGTATACGTGTTCGTGCATACGTTCCTTCTGCCGTGGGTAATGACTCTCAGGTAATCAGGTGCAGCCACTTCCCAGGCCAGCTCCGTTCTGAGAGGGAGCTGAGTGACCTTACCCAGAGAGCGACTTTGGCCACATCCACCAGCGCTTCTGCTGTCTGGCAGACCTTTCTCCTCTGGGTCCTAGGAGGGCATGCAGGTGAACCTTGCAGTTAAAAGCCCAGGCAAAGGACACCCTTAGAATATTAGTAAACTCTCTTTCTTATTTTTTTTTCTGTCTTGGAAAAGGTTTAAATGGGATGTCAAAAAATTTGAGCCTCATTTCTCCATCAGCCCAGAAGAAGGCTATATCACCGCAGGCATGGAGGTCTCTTTCGAAGTGACCTACCACCCTACTGAGGTGGGGAAGGAGAGTTTCTATAAAAACATGCCGTGCTTAATCCAGGGGGGCAATCCTCTGACCCTAACCCTGTCTGGAGTCTGCGTGGGACCACCTATGGTAAAAGAGGTGAGTAGGTGCTGCCCAGGCCGGGCCAGCGGCAGGAGTCAGCCCAGCAAGTGAACTCAGCTGGGCCTCCTTGAAACAAGTGGCTCCGTCCAAACAGTCCTCAGCACCCGAATCAAACATTCAGACCTGCTCCCTCCCTCCACAAGGCCTGTGAATACACTGTTCCCACTGCTGGAATATTCTTCATTTCGTTAATTTCTGTTCGCTCTTTAGCCCTCACCTCAAACATTACATTCTCAAGGAAGCCCGCGTTGTTATCCCTGGCTAGATCAAACTCTAAGATCTGTGAGAAAAGGGTCAACACCTTTCTCCTTCTCTATGGTTTAAAAAATAAAAACAGCCTGGGGTTAACCCTCTGCTAGCCCCGTTCCTAGACACCTAACTCTACTGTCATCTGTGTTAACTGGCTACACTGCTTATGGTAGATTGGTACCCAGTCTCTCTATACATAATTATGTTATTTCAAGAATGTTGTTTGAGTGGAGTCACGCGGTATGCTGTGAACTTTGACGTACAAGTCTCAGCAAGAACATGCGCTTTCATTTCTCCTGGGCTGATACCTAGTTGTGGGATGACTGGGTCATGTGGTAGCTATATGTTTACCTTTTTAAGAAACTGTCAAACTATTTTCCAAAGTGATTGTGTCCTTTTACACAATTGTCCCTTTGTGTGACTTCTCCACTTGCTCCACATCCTTGTCAACTCTTAATATGGTCTGTTTTTTAAATTTTAGCCATTCTAATAGGTATGTAGAGGTATCTCATTGAGGTTTTTAACATGTATTTCCCTAGTGACTAATGACGTTGAGCACCTTTTTAGGTACTATTTGCCAAACAGCCAGCTATATATCTTTTTTGTTGAAGTGTCTGCTCACCTCTTCTATTTTTAATTTTATTAAAGTTTTGAGGCCTCTCTATGTACACTGGACACAAGTTTTACATTTATGTCTTCAATCTATTTGGAGTTAATTTTTATATGTGGCTAGATATGGATCAAAATTCACACTGTTAAGCCCAATGGCCATTTCTCAGCCATCACCTTACTTGACCATGAACCAGCCCGTCCTCCTTCAAACACTTCCTTCCCCAGGCTCCAGGACACCACCTCTCCCGGTTTCCTCCTATCTCACTGGCGGCTCCTTCTCGTCTTCTCTTCTGAGTCTTCGTAACATTGGAGTGTGCCAGTCAGGAGTTAGTCCTTAGATTCCTTCTTTTTTATAAATATACTCACTTCTGGTTGACCTCATCCAGCTTCTTGATCTTAAAAAGCACTGCCATACTGACAACTCCCAGATCTCCATCTCCTGGACCTTTCCCTTGAACTCCTGGTTTGTAAATTCCACTTCCTGCTTGACTAATAAACATCTCAGGCTTCACATGTACAAAACTGAGTTCCTGATCTCTCCCCCAAACCTGCTCTTCCCACAGTCAACCCCACCTCAGGAAGTGGCATCTCCTTCTTTCCAGTTGCTCAGGCTAAAATCTTGGGTGTCATTACTGAATCTTCTTCCACTTACACCCAAGATTCCATACAGCAGTAAGTCCCATTTGCTCTTCAAAGCACAACTGGAATATTTCCTTTTCCCACCATCCCCAGTGCTGCCAGTGCCTGCCAAGCCCCTGTCGTCTCCCACCTGGTCTATTGCAAGTGTCTTCTAATTGGTCTCTCTTCCTCTGCCCCCTCTAAGCATCTGGAGCAACTCTATTAGGTCACTCCTCTACTCAGAACTCTTCTAAGTCCTCCTGTTTCATTAGAAGGAAGAGAAAAGTCCCTACCATGACTCCAAGGCCCTGCATGCCATTTCCTGTTCCCTGTTACTTTATCTCCCTTCATTCACTTCACGTTTGCCACACTGGCCTCATCTGCCATTTGTCAAAATGCAGGAACTTTGCAACCGATGTTTCCTCTGCTCAGGAGGCCCTTCCCCAGGTCTTCCTTGACATCATCCTTCTTGGTCTTTAATCAAATACACATGCTCAGTGAGGCCTGTCCTGATCACCCTATTTAAAATTTCCCACTCCCCAGTCTGTCGTGCCTGCACCCCTGCTCTGCTCTGTGTTTCCCCTTAGCACATATTCATATCCTACTCATCTGTCTCTCCCCACTGGAACATAAGCTCCCTGAGGCTGGGGATTTTTGTTATTTTGTTCATTGCTGTATCTCCACCACCAAGAACAGTGCCCAACACACAGAAGGTACCCAATAAATATATGTTGAATGAATGAAAGAGAAAGAAAATGATCCATTGAAACTCATGACGGGAAGCACTGTTAAAGTCAGTCTTCCCTGGCACATTCTGCATCTCTGGCCCCTGAAGACAGGCCAGAGGAAAGTGCCATGGAAGACGAGGGACTTACTTTCTTCCAGGTGGTGAATTTCACCTGCCAGGTGCGCTCCAAGCACACACAGACCATCATGCTGTCAAACCGCACCAACCAGACCTGGAACCTGCACCCCATCTTTGAGGGCGAGCACTGGGAGGGGCCCGAGTTCATCACCCTGGAGGCCCATCAGCAAAACAAGCCCTACGAGATCACCTACAAGCCCCGCACCATGAACCTGGAGAACCGCAAGCACCAGGTAGGCTGAGGCCTCCCCACTGGTTTCCTGGAATAGCTGAAGGGAAGAGCTGTGTGGTTAGAGATGGTTTTGGGGCTCAGAGCTCAGAATGTCAGAACAAAGGGGGAACACACAGATCATGTTGGAACAATGGGGAATCGTGTAGATTACCAAGCCCTGGCTTCCTTTTTTATCCATATATTTTCATGTACAGGGGATTCTAGAGCCAGGGGCCCAGTTCTGAAATGAAGTACTAGATCAAGCATTGAGCCATTGATATTTAGCTTAACTGCATAAATAACATCATGGAGATGTTAATAATAAAAATCAAAACATAAAAGTGGCCACAATCTCCCCTCTATAAAAAAAATGAACTTTTTTCTTCTATCTTCACTACCAATTCTTATTAAGATACAGCTGTAACTGTCATCATAGCATACCCAATTTTGCATTCTATTTGTTTTCACTTTACGTTTTATCACTAGCATTTTTCTATTGTATTTAACTATTTAGTCTTTGTGATAACCATTTTTAATGATTGCCTAATATTTCATTGAATGAGAGTCCCATAATTTGTTTAACATTCCCTTACTGAATGTTTATCTCCAAATTTTCATCAATATTATGAGTGGTTCTAATACATATAGGTAACTTTTTCCTTTGGAGGGATTTTTCTTCAGCAAGTTCCCTGGGGTGATAGTCCTGATTCAAATAGATATCAACATTTTTATGACTCTTGAAACATATTACCAAGCCACTTTCCGTAAGTGTTATATTTATTTGCAGAGCATTCATTAATCCTGTGTCCCCACCATGCCTGGTATCTACCTAATAAAGGACCCTCTGTGTCATTCTTATCACAATTCTTCCCATAGGGCACCCTCTTCTTCCCCCTCCCGGATGGGACTGGCTGGCTATATGCTCTGCATGGGACTTCTGAGCTCCCCAAAGCTGTAGCCAACATCTACCGTGAAGTGCCGTGTAAGACACCCTACACTGAGCTCCTGCCAGTCACCAACTGGCTGAACAAGCCTCAGAGGTGAGGGAGTGGGGTAAGGGGTCTGGGTGGGGAGATGGAGGGAGGACTTTCACCATCTGGCTTTGACCTTCCTCTGTCCTTTGTCTTCCTCAGGGCCTCTGGAGGCTGTTAAGGGGCTCAGAGAGTCAGAGACAAAGTTCTCTAATATGGCCAGGCATTTCCTAAACTCTAGGCCTCTGGAGAGATTCTCCTGTTTGGTGCTGTTACTTGTAAATCTCCCAGAATGATACTTGGTACAAAATAAGTGTTCAGTAAATGTTAGCTGTTATTATTATCATAATGGTAGTCGTCATTGTTATTATCGAGTATCTGTCTTATCACCTAAGCCACTAGCCAGAGAAGGAAGTCCCTTGGCTCTCGTACCTACAGTAGGAGTAGAGTGGAATGCAAGCATGCAAAGAGCTCAAGGCCAACCAGCCGGGGTCCTCTTCCTTTCCAGAGAAGGAACCAAAGACTGGGAGACAAAGCACGACATACCGAAGGCCACACGCTTACCATAGCGGATAAAGGCCCAGACCTAAGTTTGAATCCTGGTTCTGGCAATAACTGGTCATGTTACCTGGGCATGTTATCTTCCTTCTCTTGGCTTCTATTTCTATTTGGTGAAATGAGGAAAATAGTGGCATGTGCCTCCTGTGGATATTTCAAGGATTAAATGCCTGTAACATATGTAGAGCACACATTCAGTGCCTGGCACATAACAGGTGGTCAATAAGTGGCAGTTACTGTTAGCGACAGAGTGAAGACTAGAACCCCAGATCCATGCACTTTCCATAAAATCAAGAGTATAGATAGCACTCTCCCTTCTGTCCTTTGGGTAAACGGTCTCGTTTTCTCTCTCCTCTCTTCATGTGCTCCTGCGCTCCCCCAGATTCCGAGTCATCGTGGAAATGCTGAAACCGGAGAAGCCAGACCTAAGCGTCACTATGAAGGGCCTTGATTACATTGATGTACTGTCTGGCTCCAAGAAAGACTACAAGCTGAATTTCTTTTCCTACAAGGAGGGAGTATACACTGCAAAGGTAGCTACATGTCAAAGGCATTGCCCTGGAACTCCGGAAGTTTGACCCTGAGGTTGATCCTCATGTTAGGAAATAAAGATGACCTCCCACCGTCATTGCTCCAATACACCACAGGGTCTTTCTCACATAAGCTATTTTGCCTAATTCATTCACTAGTTCAACAAGTATCTATTGAGCATATATGCCATGTACTATACTAAGTGCTGGTAACATAGTAATGACCAAAAATAGACTCAGTCCTGTTCTCATGGAACACACAGTCTAGTGGAGAGAGATGGACATTTCTCAAATAATTGCACTGTGAATGTATAATTACAAAATGAGATAAGTGATTTGAAGAAAAAGAGTATGTATGGACCTGTAGCTCATGGGAGAGATCAGGGCTGAAGATACTATTTGGAAGTTTTTCATTTAGAGATGTAATTCGAAGCTATGATGGGGGATGGAATCACCAACAGAAAGGTTTTAAAGTGAAAAAATAACATCTAGTAACACATGTACAGACACACACACACACACACCCCAAAGAAATACTGGCAAGACTCTCCCGGCAGCATGTGATGTCCTGCCCTGCAATAACTGAGATAGGCTGCTCTAATCAGATCTACTAAGATCAGCATCCACAAGCAGACAAGATTCTCTTAAAATCAAGGAATCACAAAACATCTAGGAGAAAAAGTCACCATGAAATAGAAACACCAGCCCAATAAATGAGAACACCTGAGAGAAAAGTTACTAAAGCAAGCAGAAGAAGACTTTAATTGAATACTATTAATATCCTCAAAGGAATAAAATCATGCCCACGAGATAAGAATAAGCTCATTGTGGAAAAGAATCAGAAATGAAAAATGGAATATCTGGAATAGAAAACCATCTAAGGAAGGCTGAGGAGTGTAATGGGCTTTGAGGAAGAGATGACTAGTAAGTTAGAAGACGGAACTGAGTAATATCACAAGACCTTAGCACATGAGGACAAAGAAATGATAAGTGTTGGCAAGGATGTGGAGTAATTGGAACCCTCATACACTGCTGGTGGGGACATAAAATGGTGCAGCTGCTTTGGAAAACAGTCTGGCAGTTCCTCAAATAGTTAAACATAGAGTTACTATATAATTTTCAGGATTCATTCCTAGGTATATACCCTAGAGAAATGAAAACATGTCCACACAAAATCCTGTGCACACATATGCATAGCCACGTTACTTATAAATAAGAGGCAAAAAATAGAGACAACCCCGTTTCCTTCAATTGGTAAATGGATAAATACAATGGAATATTATTTGGCAATAAAAAGAAATAGAAATGAAGTATTGATACATGCTACAAAACATTGTGCCAAATGAAAGAAGCCAGGCACAAATGTATGCCTTGAAATGTAAGTGAAAGAAGCCATTCACATAGTTTACGATTCCATGTATCTGAAATTTCAAAAGTAAGCAAATCTATAGGAATAGGAAATAGGTTAGCAGTACGGGCTGGAGGGGATGGGTTGGGGAAAACGGGGAGTGACTATTAATGGGTTGAGGGTTTTGGGGGTGATGAAAATATTCTAAAATTTATTGTGATGATTGCTATGTTTTGCGAATATACCAAAAACCACTAAATTTTATACTTTAAATAGTGGATTGTCTGGTATGTGAATTAAATCTCAATGAAGCTGTTTCAAAAAAGAATGAAAGGAAATATGAGACAAAATATAAATCAATAAGTTCTAACATCCACCTAATAGAGGGTCCTGAAACAGAAACAAGATAATAGAAGGAAAAAAATATTTTGAAAAAATAATCAAAGAAATATTTCCAGGGCTATTGAAAAAGATTGAGTCTTCTAACTGAAGAGACCCACAGAGTTGCCAAACAGGATGAATGGAAAAAAAGACCCCCACCTAAATGCATTAGAACAAAGTTTCATAAAACTGGGATGAAAGAGAAAGTCCTAAATGAGTCCAAAGAAAATAAAAAGAAACTATAATCACAGTAACTGCATTACAGAAATCTGTCTAAAAAGA